GCATTTTTCCATTATTTTGTTGTGTCCAATATAACACAGTAATCCTGGAAAGAAAATCTTTTCTCCTACGTAAATGAACACTTCAGCATTTACCTGATTTTTCCAAAATCAATGAAAATTCCAACACAAATATATTTGTTTTTCATTAAAACATGTTTCAAACAATATATATATATATATTCAACTGGCTTTAAAGTGGGTACCGGGCAAGCATTTCTGAAGAGGGATTCAACAACTGGAGTGCCACTGCCCAAAATGCGCACCCTCCAGCAACCACCAGTTGCATATCATTTGGTGAGGGCACCTGGAAAAGGTCCTTCAGAATCTGGCTAAGTATATATGGGAGGAGATAATTCAGGTCACCTTGCCATAGCTATTTAGAGCTTTAAAGGTTAAATCAGCACTTTGAATTATTATTAAAATTTCTGTGCCCCCCTGGGAAGAGCATTCCACAAACGGGGAGCCACTGCAGAAAAGGCCTGTTCTCATGTTGAGACCTCTCGTGGAGGCACACGGAAAAAGGGCCTCAGATGATGATTGAATTGGACCTGGAAACAGAGTTGAAGTCAGTGCAAATGAAGAAGTATGAGGAACAGTTGAAGGAGCTGGGTACCTTTAGCCCATAAAAGAAGAGACTGAGAGGAGATATGATAGCCATCTGGTTTACTGCAATGCACTTGTGCTCAGTCTAGGAGCTGCACTTGTGGGGCTTTACTTGTGTTCAATCTAGGGGCTGCAGTTAGTGCAGAATGCTGCAGCACAGTTGCTAACAGGAGTGAGACCTTCTTCTGTTCTGTGATCTGGGTGTTCATTTGCTACTGGGCCAAGTTTATGGATTTACTATTACAGTGGTACCTCAGGTTAAGTACTTAATTTGTTCCAGAGGTCCGTTCTTAACCTGAAACTGTTCTTAACCTGAAGCACCACTTTAGTTAATGGGGCCTCTTGCTGCCGCCGCGCTGCCGGAGCCCGATTTCTGTTCTTATCCTGAAGAAAAGTTCTTAACCTGAAGCCAATTGGAAGCTGCACCTTGGTTTCTGAATGTTTTGGAAGTCAAAGAGACTTCTGGAACGAATTCCGTTTGACTTCCAAGGTACGACTTTAATTGTTTTTAGCAATAATTTTAATGTTTTATTTTATATTTTGTAAACTACTTTGAGCTTTCTTTGTTTTCAACCATCAAGCAGTATATTTATATTTTTTAACAACATATATAAAATAAAAATCTGAAGTATGGTGGGATAAAGAACCCTTTTAGTGGATGTGCCTCAGCTTGAAAATATTCTCCCCAGAAAGCTTTACCTAGTGCCCATTTTGATGTCTTTCTAGGAGCAGCCAAAGGCCCTTTTATATATTAGGCCTTACATTGAGCTAAAATCTTGCTGAAGAATTTGCCTTTGCAAAGAATATACACGTAGTAGGGACATTCAATAGCTATTTGGTATTCTCCTCATTACTCCCCATTAGAGGTTAGCTCATTTTCCTGTTAAAGGCAATAAAGTTGTCAAAGGGAAACTTTCCAGTGTCAGTCTGCATACAAAATTAAGAAGCAACCATGATAATACTTATCTCCAGCCTGTTCACATGGTTGACTGCTCATTTTCTTTCCCATCCAGAGAAAATACAAATGCTCCCCAACCAATGAAATGCACAAGATTCAATAATGCAAACAATGTATTTATCAAAATTCAAATTGAGTAGTTCATGTATAAACCCCTTATCCGGCTATGATCACTCTAGTATTATATTATGCAATATATTGATTGCTTCACTGTGAGGTTGCATGCTACATCCCGCAGAAAATTAGTTGCTATGTAGATGATTCCATAAAGAAACTAGTACTGCAGTTCTTTAAATGACCACTGCCCTAAAACCAGGCAGGGGAAATTTTGTAAATTGGAAGAGCCCCCCCCCCCCATCAGCAATGCCTTACAAAGGCTTGCCAACAGAGACTAGTAAAAAAAAAGTTGTGGGTTGATGTATTTGAGGGTCTCACTTGTAAGAATACTCTCGTCACTGTTGTCATGTTGGATCTTATGCAAGTCATGGGAATGCTAAATTGATGAGGCATGAAACTTTGATAACAATGCATCAGTTGTAGATTTTTAAATCTTCTTCTTTGGTGATCACTCATAGCCAAGTAAGATGGTCTTCCAAATACAAGGTTACAATAGCACAGCTATATAATACAGGTATACTGAGGCATGGTACAATGACAAAATAGTAACTTGCCAATTTTTGTACTGCCAGATATGCAGTCATTATATGAACATTCTGTTCAATTTCAGTGAGACTTCCAGTCCATTCTTATGCAGATTTACTGAAAGTAACTTCCACTGAATTCACTTTGAATATTATTTGGCTTATTCCCAAGTAAGATTGTATAGCAGGCAGCTTTAAGGATGTTGAGAAGCGCTGCTCAAATCTTTTTCCATTCTGTAGCTCTCTCAAGGAGATGTACCAGGCTAATCTTTAAACTTTTTAGAAGTAAAGAACACCTTATTCCACAGGCCATTTAAAAGTGTATACCATGTTATCAGGGAATTTTATTCAATTACTCTTTATGCTACATTGTGCAGGGGGAGGGGTTTTGCCGTAGTATGTTCCATTGTCATACAGGGATGGACAATTTTTATTTTGGCTTGTTGTCAGCCCTCACTTGTGGTTGCCTCCCTTCTCTCATGCCCTGTGGCATATGCAGAAAACTCTGGGATAACAGAAAGGTGCTTTCTGGGCATTCCTAGAAGGCACTGAAGTACTGCCCCCCCCCTTTTGTAAAAGTCCAGTGGGAAGGAAATAAAATATCCTCTCCATCTCACAAGTTGCCCATGAATTGTAGAGAATTCAGTAGAAAAGGAGGGTGTTTTTTATGTCTTTTGTTGGGCTTACATAGGACATATATTGCTTCTCCTCCCCATTCTCTGCACTGGGTATGCAGGGATGTTCACTGCTGCTGTGGATGGGTGTGTAAAAATTTCCAAAAGTAAACATCATAATTGATCACAGTACTCAGGGCGGGGGGGAGAGCCACACTTGCTAAACAAGAAGCTACATTTAATGCATTAAAACCATGCTGCTTCCACAGCTTCCTTCATACTTATGAATTATGAAAACAATTACCCAGTTTGCATAACACTCAAATATTCTCCCTTCATATAATTAGTCTGAAAACGAATTCAAAAAAAGTAGGTGAAAATAACATGTGACGTATTAACTTCTGCCAATAATATGTAGGATACTAAACACAAGCAAAGAATCGTAGAAAAGCTATTAATGTTTTACACTAGCATATCTTGTCAACCTACTTCCTTGTTATTCATTACAATATTTGGCCTAAGTCTGAACTATTGTGTCATTTTCTTGTGTAAGTCCAGTCTTTCACCATGCAATCAATATCACTGTGTGGTATCATCAATATATACGTGGCCCAGCTGAAACACAAACTGTGTAGTTGTCCAGGTCACTTTATGGCTACCAAAGGTTTATATAACATCAACTAAAACTGGTTTGTTAAAACAGTAATGGGAAATTATTATAATTATTTTAAAAACCCAATAACAGTGGTTAGCTTGACTGGTGGAGCAGGAAGATGACAGAGAAGAGAAAAAGGAAAAGAACAGAATGTAGTAATATATGGATATTAACAAGGAATTTTGAAAGGAAAACCCAGTTTTAGAAATTTTCTGAGGGATTAGAATAGTACTCCTGCAGTGGAGACAACAGCTCTTGTTTACCACCCCAGCAAATTTATGAAGTTTGCAGACTGACAATTTAAAGGCCATGGATTGAAAATGTCCCTGTTATGGATGCTTAATGAAACCTTCATGAAATAAGAACACGCTCAGGAACTTCCTACATGTGGTGTGGACATTTTACAGCTGAGGAGGTTATGCTTTAAAACAGACAACAATAAAAACCCTCCCAAGATGAGTTGTTGCTCAGCACTGCCACTAGTATGAAATAGCCCTGTTTATACAGCTGCATTTCATTACGGCTTATAATATTTGTAATACACGGGGGCGGGAGGGGAGCGTATCCATCCACTTCCAGCAGCACAAGCACAGGATACACTGGCAGTGCACCCGAGACACACCAGCAGCAAGTAGAGCGCCCTCCACCCTCCGACCACCTCCCATCTGTGCAACTGTCAGGGGTCAGCGGCGCGGTCCCTACAAGGGAAGGAGGCGCTCTCCCGGCGTTGCCTGCGTGCCATAGCGAACACAATAATACACAGACACACCGCGGCGGGGGCTGCTTGCCGCCGCCGCCGCCGCCACCAGGCGGGGCCCCGGCCATGGGCGACTTCACTCAACCGCAGCGGCCAAAGGGGTGGCGGCGGCGGCGGCGGCAGGTAGGTGAGGCACCCGCTGCAGCGCGCCAACACCGCAGGGAGGAAAGGCAGCGCCTGTCACTCAGCCAGTCACAAAAAGGAGAGGCAGCCCCGAGAAAAGGGCTGCTGAGCTCGCAGGATTCCCGAGCCGCGAATGGTTTCTCAATGGGGCGGAGGAGGGGGAACCTGCTGGGCGGTTCTCTCTCTCTCTCTCTCTCTCTCTCTTACCTGCCGGGGTGGCTCCGAAGACTCTCACGACGGGCACCTTCTTGACGGGCGCCTCTCTGAAGTGGGACTGGCAGGGGTCCAGGCCGGGCAGAGGGCTGCTCATGTAGTAGTCGGCGGTCACGACCCTCACTGAGAACATGTTCGCCACTGCGGGGGGAGGCGCCCCTGAGGGCGACCGTTGGGCGCACCGCGAGGCTGGGGTGCACCGCCCCCCCCACCCCGCACTTACGCCTCCTCAGGCGGCGGCAGCGGCGGCTGCTGCTGCCACCCCGCCGCAGCTCGAGCGCAGCCCCCTCCCTCTCACCCGCCCGCCGCGCGCGCTTCCTCGTGCGCATGGACGAGCGGGCGGAGCACTCATGGGAGTGGGGGGAAGGAGGGGCCCGACGTGTGTGTGCGCGCGCACGCTCCAGCCCTCAGGCGACAGCAGCGGCGGCGGCAAGCCCGGGCAAAGCTCGCCCCAGCCAAGCCGATTGTGTACACCTCACATGGTCAGAAGCCGCCCTCCCTCCCCACTGGAGCTCCTCAGCAGTAGTTCCTTGGCTGCAGCTGTTGTTGCCATGATGATGATGTCACGGACCCAACCACCGCCGTTGGGTGACGGAAGGGGTGTGTTGGCGGTGCCGACCGAGAAGCGCAGGGAGGGCGGGCTGTTCATTTCTTTCCCCCTCCCACCTCCAGCTTTAGCGCGAGAGTTTGGTTTCTACTTAGTGTGAGGAGGCATCGGCGGCTCGGCTTTCGGCCGCGCTGGCCTGGGTGGGAATGAGAGAAGCCTGGGGAATGCCGAATCACGGGTGGGCGGGCAGCTTCGGGGCTTGGATGGGGGCTGCTCGTGATCAGGGTCCATGTTTGGCCGCCATTTCGGAAGCTCTTGTCTGTAGGAAAAGGTGAGTCTTTGGGGCGCTTCAGAGGACAAGAGGGGTGATGAAAGGGGAATCTCGGGTGCCGGTAACATTTATGGGGCGCAGACATATATGGGGTGGGGGGCGAAGAGAAGGGCCCTTCTAAGGTAACGCCTCCTCTGCGCGCGCGCTCCCCTTGGCTTCTCGCGCGGGGGGCGGTGCAGAGGAGAGAAAGATGAATGAAGTGCGGGACTCTGCTTATAAAAGGGCGGTTGCCGCTGCGCGTGTTCCCGATTGGGCGGGGCTACTCTCGTGCTCTGCGGAAGTGGAAGCCGCCGTGCTCTTCCCTTTGCCCCGCCCGTTGCCGCAGGTGAGGAGCTCAGAGCTGCTTTCGTAGGAGCCCCTGTATGAAGGCTAAACCCGGGCGCTATTGAGCAAAGGGCCTCCGGTAGAAGGGGCCTTGCTCCTACTATTGCGGAGCGATGTGTTTTACACACACACATATAGACACACAGCCCTCACCCTCAAGCTTGGGGATGTATATGTGGGTCAAAACTTGAAATACTTGGAACGTCATGTCTGATACCTGTTATACTCTGATTTCCCCCCCCTGCCCTTCCTTTGAGACGAAACTTTGGGACTCTAGCCATTATTCAAACCTGAAAGCCGGAATAGAATGTATTAATCATTCCCCCTCCATCCAGATAGCTCAGTGTTCAGTGGAGTGAATGACAAATGGAAAGTGTTGCTTCACTTGGCCAGTTAATAATGTTAACCCTTCTGTTTCTCCAGTCAATAATACATAAGTGTGCCACATAGATAAGCCAACTGTGGGCTCTTGTGGTTTGCAATGATATAATAGACGTGCCAAACCTAGTAGGGGTTCTCAGCAGTGCGGAAGCATCAGTTAGGCCCATTTATTGGACTATGCCAGTGTTTCCCAACCTTTTTTGGGCAAAGGCACACTTGTTTCATGAAAAAAATCTCGAGGCACACCACCATTACAGCCCCGTGACGTCAGCGCGCAGCGTCACGCCGGGAGGGACATGAATTGCTAGCAAATTACATAATCACCTCCTTGAGAGCTGGCTCATCTTCTCCGAAGGCAGAACCCCATTAATTAACAGCACAGACTCACACCATAGCCAAGACGAGGGGGGGAAACCTCAGTCATGCACAGTCATGCACATGTGGGGGCTAAATGAGGACGAAGACCGGGCAGAGAGCAGGGTTCAAATCACCCCACCTGGCCAGGACAATCCCTGGGTGCTCCCTTGGGCCACTCGCCTGACCCACCTCGCAGGGCTGTTGTTGCGAGGATAACACGGGGAGAACCACGCGCGCCCCCGGGAGCTCCTTGGAGGAGAAAGCGGGCGATGAATGCAATGCACGAAATATATGAGAGGCGACCAGGTTTTGCAGGTGAGGGGCCCCCGCCAGCCTCCGCTTCCAACACCCGGCGCAACGACGCCGAAGTTTCCCCCCGGGCTCGGCTCGGGGAGCAGCGCTGCTCCCCCCCGGCTCCCCTTCGCCCTCCCGGCTCTCTCTGCCGCCCACTGGGGACCCCCCTCACCTGCCAAGTCCGGAGCGCCGGTGGAAGTTGCATGCATGCATGCAGGGCGCCGCGTTGCCATTGCATTGCACTGCACTCCATGCAACGCCTGCACGCATGCATTGCCTTGCACGCACGCCAAGGGGTCTCCCCGCGGTCCGATGCGTCCCCTCCGGCGCGGATGCAGCATTGCAAAAATAAAAAACCCCCGACGCAGCCCTACCTGGGGGGCAGCCTCCGCCTCTGCCGCTCCGCCTCCGCGGGGATCCCCGGGCTCCATCCTGCCGCCCGATCTCCGGGGGGCGCAGGCAGGCTGCGCAGGGTCTGCGCGGAAGAGCCCCTGCCCGCCCGGCCGCCGCTGCGCTCATTCCATGGCCGGGAGAAGAGCGCTTCAAACAAAACGCCCGGCCCGCCAGGCCACGCTGGGAAACGTAGTTCACGCACCCCGCGCGGGCGCGGAGCCCAAGGGCGAGGGGACTACGGATCCCGGCAGCCCCCGTGCCGGGGACGGAGGGGGAGAGGCCGGGTGCAGGGATGGAGGGACGGGTGGGCGAGCGAGTGAGTGAGTGGCAGCCGCCAAGCCTTGGCCGAGAGCCAGGAAGGGCCTCCCCGGAGGAGGAGGAGGGAGGCGCAGAGCGGGAGGGAGGGAGGGAACCCCAGGGGTCATCTAGTGACGGCGCCCCAATCGAAAATTTGACTTTAAAAAAAAAAATCTTTCAATTTTTTAATTTTTCCCGCGGCACACCAGGCAACATCTCGCGGCACACTAGTGTGCCGCGGAACAGTGGTTGGGAAACACTGGACTATGCTACTGGTCACCCAATATAAGAAGCACACACACAAAATTCACTGTTAACGTGATCAGATATGTATGTAAGCAGCAGATACTTATAAGTCATAAGTATGAGTTATGCTGGGTTGGTAGGACATGAGACCAAGCTGAACAGAGTTTCACATATGGGTAAGTGTCCCTGCGGAATGCCTCTTTTTCAGGACTTAGGCCAACCTCAAATCAGATTTCTCTAACAGGAATCTAAGAGTAGAAATTCAGGGAATAGTAAGCATAAAATGGTTGCTAAATTTCTGCTGGTTTCTTGTATACTGGCTTACATTGTGCCAGTTATAATCTTCCCATCTGAAGAAGAGTCATGGTTCAGTGGTATAGTGGAAAGAAAAGAGGGAAACAAATTGCTGCTTGTGGGGAATGGTTCCTTCTTAACCTCACCATCCAACCATCCAGCACAGACTTTGGAAATAATCCATGAAATTTTTCTAAATGTTCCAAGCCACTGCTATAAAGAGGAATGTGGAGGGAAGGAATTCTAGGAACAGACCTTGATGATAGGCATACTTCGCTGTCTTCACTTTTTCTTGAGAAGCTCTCTGCAGGTTAAGTAAGGCATGCAACAAAACATTATTCAGTTCCCCCACTCACCCACAGATAAGTTCAATATTTCAACAGTAAAAAATCCACCAAAATATTAAATCAATTCATCTGCAGTGTTTTGCCGCAGCTGTGAATCAAAGGTTGGATGGTGGGGTTAGAAAGCAGAAAGTGTACAATTAATGGTAATATCAGCTTAGGAGAAAGTGACAAGAAGAGCTGAGAATGGAGAGGGTTTTATTTTTCAGCTGCTCTTGGCTGGTTTCCCAGTTGCTTGAAGACCAATATGAGTGGGGCAAGCCAACCAACAACCACGAAACCATGGTTAGAAAACTGTCTGGGTTCAGACATAATGCTAAACCATAGTTAAAATCAGCAACAAACCATGGCTTTTGTGTTATCAGATCATAGTAAAGTGCTTGACTGAAGTCACATGTAATGCTAAACTGTGGTTTGATACGATGTGCAAACCAGGTCAAGAGTTGATATTGAGTTAGGTGGACCAGTGGTCTGACTCTGTGTATGTCAGTTTCCTAAGAGATAACTAAGGGTCATTTCTGAAAATATAGGGGGATTTTCCCTCCTCCTTTTTTGTCCAGTACAGATAACCTGTGACTTATGTTCATTTAACACATGCAAGTTCAACTTTACACAATTGGCTGAAAACATTTAAAGGGGAATAGGTGTCCAGCAATCCTACCCACATTTGAAATTTGAAACAAATGTGATAGATGGACCCTGTTCTGTTAATTTCTATCAGATTTTATTATGTTTAAATATACAATTTAAAAGTATGTGTGTATGTGTATATATAATAGAGCAATCTTTTTATATAAAGTTACTGTCTTCACTTTGTTTATGAAATAAATACTCTTAATGGATTTTTAAAAGTTAAGTTAAAAAATAGGGATGCAAAGAAGTAAAAATGATATTTCTTTCCAATGTTTTCAGGTCTGGGTTCATCTTTCTCATCAAATATACTAGTGAGGCTCCTTCCAAGGAATCACAGGACCATTTAAAGGAAGATAGAAGCATGTCAAAGAACGAAAGTAGTTTTTACCACCAACTATTTAACATTCATTTTTCTTATATAGGCTCATCTGAATTAGTAGCTATGAATGTACTGGTAGAGTGTGCTTCATAGAAAATGAAGCATGTGTCTGTGAATGGTACTCAAAGCAATAGAATTTCAAGTTATGGTTAAGTCTTGTGGATTGTCTTGTAAGATTGATGCTTAATTATCTATGGTTTGCGCTTATGGAAAGGAATAATATCAGTTTTGAAAAGACCACCAGGAATGCAAACAGAAATTTTGCTGTTTTGATAACTGGCTCTGTAATGGCTCTATTGTGTGTGTGTCAACATTTAACAACTATAGCTTGATTGGTGGTTCTGATTAAGTTCAGTTTTGTGATGGTACATTTAATGTCTATTACTGGTAGCAGCGGCAGAACTATCCCCCCCCATGCTAATGTGTTCTGCTACTCCCCATTCATAGTAAGTCTAACAGCTGGAATTGGTTTGCATTCAGTGACTTGGGATGCAGTACATATTAAATAGTTGTGAACTCCATGTCACAACAGCGTAGAAAGTGACATTTGGAATAGAGAAATAGCAGAATTTGTGAAGAACAGTGGGCAAACAAAATTTTAGCTACTGCTAGTTTTTTTCTAGTATGAAGTATTTGATTGTATTGCAGGTCCTGACAATGAACACATAATTTCTGCTGCAGCTCTGTTTGCCGGTGGAAAATGTATGAAAGGATGTCTTTTGAAACAATCTGTGTTATGTCCAGCAACCCTGAGCATGGAAAAGCTGTCAACCTTGAATATTTTAGTTGTTTCAACAAGTAAAATATTTAATAAATGAGGTCAGTTTTTGTCTAGTGAAAACATGACAAAATTCTATTTTGTTTATTGAATTAAATAAATGAACAGTTACTTGTGTTTTCAGCTGCTTTGAATGCTGAGGACCTTGCATGGTCCCACAGTGCTGTGGAATCTGCAGGAACAGATCATCTCAGTCTAAGCAGACATTGTGATGAGTTCTTATCTTTCTGTTCTTAGTACTTTTGCCTCAAGCCTGCAATGGCTTTCTTGAAATTGGCATCACAGTGCAGATTCACATTTCATTTACTGCTCATTTTCAGCTTTTGCAAAATGGTTCTCACATTCTCTCATATGTTTTATTAGGTTGTTTTTCTTATATCTTAGTTTTCCTAGATGCATCTTTTCTCGTTAACTCTTGCTTATGTTTTAAGCGAAAGTAGGATCCCTTTCTTATAGCGTACTGCTGCAAAATAACTGTTAGCTTTTTAAAATCACTCAACATGTAGGACTTCTGATTACAGTAAGTGGGAAATATGCAAGATCAGTGCTCTGAATACAGGGCTGTAAATGATAAAATTATGCCTAGTGTGAGTTTCAGTAGCATCCCTCAAATTGTGCTGTTTATTCTGCAGTTAACTGTTAATCTTTGCTATGTTCTAATGTAAGCATATGTTATATTTATCTTGAGGGTAACATTTAAAATGCTTCGGAGAATGCTGATGTGCCTATCCATATATTCTGATTGAATAAATAGCAGACCACAATCACCCTTTTAATATATTTATTACATTTTTGAGCTACATTTAAAATTCAGTAGAAGAAAACAGAATTGTTTATTAATATGTGATTGGAAAATGGATTTATCTCTTCTTTCATTTGTCATGTTAGATCAGGTGTGTGGAACCTTTTGCCTTCCAGATGTTCCTGAACTACAACTCCCATTAGCATCAGCTGGCCAGGAATGATGGAAGTTGTAGTTTAGCAGCATCTGGAGGACCAAATGTTCTGCACTCTTGGAATATGTAGTATGTATTTATTGTTTAGTTTTTATTTGTATTTGTGGCAAGGCTATATCATTGTAATTGTTTGATTTCCTTTTTATGCGTGCTTTTGATATTTAACAAAATGGATACTTGTAAAAAAATGTTACAGTTAATGTTATACTCAACCATATCTTACTGACTCCACAATATTTATATAAGTATCTCTTTACAGAATGAAATAAAATTTATTGAAGTATGAAATCCTAGCATCTCAAACTAAACAGAGAGCTAAGATCATTTCAGTTCTGCTAATGAGCAAACAAGAAAGAACATGGCTTCTCCATTAACAGGCCAAATGCAAAATCCGTTCCTCTCTGCTTGTATGTCCTCACTTGAACTTGATCCCCACAGATCTGTAAACGATTATAACTCTTGCTATAACTAGACCAATATGAGTGACTATTTTTAGAACACACTCCTTATTTAGCCCACATAGAACAGAAAGGATTGTTTTCCACAGCTCAGTGAAAAAAGTATAGCTTTTCCAAATGTAACATTAAACATTGTATAACTTCTGCAGAAGTAGAGCCTTACTTCACGAAGCCATGGTGTAATTAATTCCAGATGTGATTCTGTACTTCTTTGGAACCATACCAGGGCAAAATCTGGCCCTCAGCTAGTTAGCTACTTATATGCAGTCAAAAAAACAAAACAAAAACACAATTAACTGCACAATCTTGCACATGACTACTCAGGAGTAAGCCACATCGAGTTTAATAGGACTTATTCCCACATGAATAGGCATAGAATGGCAGCCTAAGAGAAGTATTGTAGTGCTAGAAATGATACTTAATAAGCAGCTAGGTCTCTAACTTCATATGTGGATTTCTAAAACAAAGGAACACAGAAGCTATTTTATCACCAAATCAGACTATTTGTCCATCCTTGCCCATTGTCTGCTTTGTCAATGACTCTCCTGTGTCTGAGGGAACTTCCGAATTTACTATTTCCAGGTCAGATTCTGTCACGTACTGGCAAATTCAGGTTGCTCAGTCATAGTTGTGCAACAAACTTGCTTCCTCAAAAGATCATACTTCTTGTGATAAGGAAAGTGATTGGAAATGCACTAGAAAGTTTGAGATAACACTGCTTTGATGCAATGTCATCTAACCACCTCATAAACAAATCAGAATGAATGCTCCTTCAATAGCCAAATGTCATCTGATTTCCCGGGGGGGGGGGAATCACAAATGCTCAATAAATGGGTCACCTGGGGGGGGGCTCTGAGGTAATCTTTCACATCACTTGCTATTGGAGATAACAGGAACCAGAGTTAAATGTCAGTAATGTTATTTCCTCAGCTTTGGTCCGTGATTTAAAGCAGAGCTATGGTATCCTATTTTTTTACTTCAGATTATGTTATTGAGTAAAACAGTTTTTTCACAACGCTGGGGGGGGGGATATGCTTCCCTAAAGCTCACCCCCTATGTGGCAGTAATACCTTCATACATTGGAACTGGCAGGTGAACAGCAAATTGTGATTTGTTCATTTTCTTAAGTTGTAGTATATGTTGTGTAATAGACTTGATAGGATTTGGTGAGGCCAAGGTTTTAGAATTTAGATGGAGTACATTAGCTTTTTTGTGCATCTTCATTCTGGTTGAGAAAAGGAAGCATTCTCCAAATGACTTTGGCTCTCTGTGATCAGCTTGTTATGCATCCAGTGATGCCTGTGAGATTTAGTGTTTTATCTGCTAGGATTTCCACTGGCAACTGAGAAAAACTCATTATGCACATTTATCACATGATCCACTTCATTAGACAAATAGATCTGGGAGAATAAGCTCTCCTCCTAGAAGACTCTTCAGAGGCTCCCACACAAACTGTTTACTGATGGATAGGCTTCTTTGGTCAGAAAACAATGCATTTCTTTGTAGTGAAGTGAATGATTCAGGAAGTTCATTCTCCCCTATCCTTATTCAGAAGCTCAGAGAGGAAGCACGGAAAGGAACATAGTCTCAATGAAGCAACAGAGAACCTTTAGTAATAAAGTGTAAATCAATTCACAGTTAGCTGTCAGCTAAAGCCTTCACATTTGTACTATGTACCATGTACAGTACGTTGTATTGCATGGACACTGTGTCCATGTGTTAGCTGGGCTTGATAAAAATGTGTTTCTTACATGCCTAGACATGAGCCCACTCACATTATTATTATTAGTGGGAGTGGTGTAGCTACAAAAACAGCTAGACTGTTAAACTGATTTATATGCAATATTATGTTTGGGCACTGTTTGTGAAATTAACTTTGATTTTGATACATTTAGAGAATTTAGGAACATAGGATGCTATTGAGTCAGTCCATTGGCATATTTAGCTTAGTACTGTCTACACTGATACCAGCTTTCCAGAGTTTCATGACAGGAGTCTTTCCTAGCCCTACGTGTAGATACAAAGCAGGAGCTGCACCTCTGAGCAACAGTTCTTTTATGAGCTTCCCTTCTGCTGGGAGGCCCTTATCTGTGCTGATAAACTAAGCTGTATAGCTGCTGCTTGACTGTACAAATATTATGTTAATGGAACAGGTGTGGCTATGCTGAAATTCATGAGATTTGTGCGTTTAAAAAAAAAGTGCAATGAAGGACTAGAAATCAATTAAAAGGCTTTTAGGACACAAGCACACTGAGGAACTTGTCTTTGCTGCTTCCGCTCTTCCTTTTCAGATAAAGGGAAGCTCGCCAAAGCAACTGGCAAGGACCCTTTTCAGGATTCAGCAGCATCCTACATTCATTGTACAGAATTGGAGCTGTGGGCATAAATAGAAGCATTTCTGAAGCCTGATTACATAAGGCCTGAAATATAAGCTCATTGCCCTCCTTTTCTATCTAAATACAAGTGGCAGCACTACACTATAGGGACCCCAAGGTAAGGGTTACCTATTTTTCTGATCCAGGTCTCTAAACAGCAGAACAAAACCCAAGGCCAATTCTTGATTAGGACAAAGAACAATCTTTAAATAAACAAATACCCTTTGCTTGATTATCAGAAATAACATGAGCAGAGCTGCTTTAGTAAGCCCTGCCCACTGGCATTTCTTTGAGTATGTGACTGTTTTCTTTCAAGTCTAAGTCAAACCTACTCTGTCCCTTCAGTGATAGGATAGCTCTAAGAGGCTAGTTTCTGCCTGTTGCCATGGTAAACTTGTTGTACAAGGATATGCAGCTTTGTTTCTTTAAAAATCCAGGTATTCACCCAAGCTTCATTAATGTGGACAAGTGATAAATTATAGTAATTATCTTTCCCTTTCAGCAGCCTGTCTCGCTTGTGTGTCACAGAGCTACAAACTATTTCTCCCTTTGAACTTTACAGAGGTTAGTAGCAGTCATTCCTGATTCCTGCTGCACCCCCAGCCCTGGTAACTTGAGATAAGGGATGCTAGGCCTTTAACAACAGGCCTTTTCAATTAAACAACTCTTTTGGGCAAAGCTCTCTTGTTTATCTTGCTGCGCATGTAGTAATAGGTTTTGGCTTTCTTGTTTAAATGGTGCCAAACAGAACCTAAAAGGGAGGGAGTAATTTTGTGTGTGTTTGCTAATGGAAGCTTCTCTTATTGGGCTAGCAGCAACTTGAGAGGCAAGGTGTGAACAATAGCAAGTGGGGAGGGGCTGCTGTGGTTAACACCCCCCCTCCTATTTGCCACAATTCTCCTAACCCCATCCTGCACAGTTGCTGTTGTTAAGAGTAAAAACAGGCATGTTAAGTGCATTTAACCTCACATTTGTTTTGGCTCTTCAGAGTGGCAAATGGGCAGTTCTTGAGACGGTCATTGGCATGCACATGGGGTACACCCAGACACATCCTAAAGTTTCAAAAAGACATGGATCATAGTGAGGAGGAGAGGGTATGGAGCAGCAACCTGGCTCTGTCAATTGCCAGAACCTGTGGGAAAGTGGCGGAGGGAGGAGAGACAAAAGCAGAAGGAAGGAGGAGGAAAACACACAGAGAGAGATATAGGCAGAATAACAAGGCTAGAATGGACCTGGAGCTTCTGCCTGTGTCTGTCTCTGGAAGTGGCAGTGGCAGTGGGGTGATTGGCTCCTCCTGTACTGCCACCACTGGAGCCAATCACCCCACTGCCGTTTCCAGAGTCAAATGCAGGCAGAAGCTGCAGATCCATTCCAGCCCTTTCCTTCTGCCTGCATCTCTGTCTTGTGGCTTTGTCCAAGCTCCGCTCACCACATTTTGTAGAGAGAAATCTGTTGGGGTGAGGGGCTGCTTTTGTGGCATGCAAGCAAGGAGATGGAGGAGGATACATCCTGCCCTTTGCTTCGTCCGTTAATTGCAGTAATGTGATTGAGCAATTTAAGTCCATAACACCTGATGAAAGATCGTCTCATTCTTTAGGACAGAAAGAAAGACGCCATATGTTTTGGCTGATTTAGGTTAGCTCCTTATCTGGTTAAAGATAAAAATCATGAACATGGACTGTTTGTATATGCCTGTTTATCTACAATAAAAAAATGGTATTTTGTATCTCATTTTTTAAGTTTGCATTTTTAAAATAAAGTTTAGTTAATTTTTTAAAAGGTTTTAGTTTCTTTAGTTTCCTTGGATAAAAACAATGTCATTTATGAGTATGCATTCAATAAATATTCACCTTAAAAGAAAATCCCCCTGGGTGCACACTAATGAAATGTTCGGTTCATGCCTATAGGTACAGTGCAGCAGTACAATGGATCATGGGACTAATAGGGTACTTGTACCTTTTTGGAAGTTTCCTGTCAGCTGCATCTCCATGTGAAATCTAAGGACTGATGCAGAGATGCAGCTGCACTTGCGTTGCCCCCACTTGCAATGCTCCCATCCTATTCAGAAGAGTGTTTAAAACAAAAACCTATAAAACACACTGTATTGTATTTTTAAGGTGCCAAAGACACGTTTAACTGTATGAATACACTATGTCCCTAACATTTTTATAAAATGTGCCCAAAATGTATGGGTGTTTATGGGTTTGAAGAGAACAATGAAATTGGCATTCAATTTGGAGTTAGAGGTTTGTGTGTGCGTCAGCTGAAATACTGTTTTGAGAGGGGAAACTGCACTGCATTAGCTCCTATATAAATCCAATTACTCTTGGTGGGCGGTGGGGGAAGACACATTCTCTCATTCTAAACATGCTCTTGTGGCAACTTTCTACCTTCATGATTACCCCAGATCAATAATTTCTGCTAGGTAAGAATGGCAGCCTTAATGTACTCATTAATTAACTGAGCGCTTATCTCATTTGTTATGTTGTTATTTACATGGAAACATAATGGATTTGGGCAGCAAATATATGGTAATATTTCTTCTTCAACTCCTGGCATGTTCTGAGACTCATTTTCATAATCTATACTATCGGGCCTCCTTTCCCCTTTCACACTAGTTTTAATTAAGTCAAACCAGCAGTAAACTTTTTCCAACCTATTCCATGTTCAGCTTTATTCAGAATGAAGTTCTGTCAGCTTCAGTTGAACTTACTTCCCAATATGTCGCAGGTTACAGTCTAAGGGCAGAACTACTCAGAATGCTAAATCAGTCATAGGTGGTGTTTATTTATTTATTTTTGTAATGAGCAATAGTTATGGAACCCTGAGTTTGATCAGTACCACAACACACAGGGAGGTGAGCTTTAAGCCTTATCATCTCAGTTGCAATCCTGTAAAAAACCCCTCATGCTTCTATTAGGCTTGCGGGGGGGTTGGGTAAGCTTCCATCGCTTGTTGAACAGGGAATGTAGCCTTTAACTGTCCTCCACCCATGTCAACAGCTGCCTTCTCAATAAAGATCCCTCTGGTTTACATACAGTATCCCCAGCTGACACTGGTAAAGAAATGCAGTTCATGGAGTTGTCATGTCATAGGATAAGCAATTCTGCATGTAATAGGGGAGACTGACATTAGAGGATGCTGTTTGGGGGAGTAGCCGCATGTCAAGTGCAATGTGCTGCTCTACCCTAATAAGTGGTAGGGTATTCAAATAGAGCACAGATGGTGCTTGACCTGCGTTTAACAGTTTATGCTGCCCGAATCCAGCATAAAATCATTATGCTATGGTTCACAGCCACACCAGCAAAGAAAACTCCATGATGTATGAAAAAGATCACACACACACACACAGAGAGAGAGAGAGAGAGGGGGAGACCCATTAACCTTGGGGAGGGGGTTAATGTCTGTGTTTACCCACAATTAAACTGTTGAAGCACTCGTGTCTTTCTCTACAGTGAGAACGATAGCAATCCATACGAAAGACCACAGTTTTATTGTGTATGTGAAATGACTGCAGGAGACCATTGCACAATGCAAGAACAGCTGGCCAATAATAAAAGGAACCCAGAGGAAACAGGAATGCAATTGTTTTGCTTATTACAGTGCCACTCACTGTACTAACTGGCTGTGCCGCAGACTTCGAAAGCAAGTTGCTAGAAGACAAAGCAATGAGACATTATTTCCATTTGCAGTTTGTTTAAATATTGCCAGGGAAGCAACGTGCCTGATCAGTTGCAGAAGGAAACATTCAGAATAAAAGAAAACACATGGGCTTGCATTAACCCAAGACAATTCTAGTGTGTGTGTCTGTGTGCACATGCTGTTCATCACCCTAGAAGGGGAAGCCAGGAAAACCCTGGCTGCCAGCCAACAGTTATAAAACGATCGCTTCATATGCACTTTAATGGACATTCATAAAGGCACAACCTGGAGAGTGGGCAAAGGTCCTATCGGAGGAGCAACATATTCCTCTTCTCTCAGCAACCGCAACAGAATGTTCTTTTTATTTTGGGGCCAGTTGTAGATGTGAGTGTTCTGAAGCCAGGTAGGCACATGCTCCTGTGGGGGGGGGAGGGTGGAAGGCAGCTATATTAAATTCCGTTCTGTATTTCAGCTTTTCAGAAACCTGAAGGCATCACAGTCACAGGCATATACCTTCCCCTCCCTCCCTTTCTTAAGAGCCTTTGCCAAAACACAAGCAATTAGTCATGCTTTGGGTCCCCTCTCAGCTTATGGTGCAATTTGAATAATTCATTGTAGAAATCACCTGTGTGAAACATTGCTGTCAGCACATTGTGGCATTAACCATCACTTAGTTTTAATGCTCTTTAACTGACATAAAGTAGACATAGTCCCAAAATGCACTCCCCAGCCTTCAAACTGAGGGACAATGGAAATTATTTTACATCACCACATTCATTTATGTCAGAACCTCCCCTCCAAGTGTCCTCACCAAGGCACCCCAAGGAGGCAAGCAAAGTTCCATGCAGAAAGAGGATCTTGTAGTAAGTGATATCTTCTCCCGTAATCACACTTGAGACTGCTGACCCTGCCCTGGCAGTGGATCCCCACTAATCCAAATGGTTGGAGAAAACAGCATTCCTACAGCCTGATCATCTCAGTGGGATTTGAGAAGAGAAAATTTGGAAAGAGATGATACTTGGTTGTGAGATTTCCCCGTATGGCACAAAGATTGCTCTGTTCCTTTTCTAAAGGCTGCTGTGAGATTGCTACCTATCTTTGACAGGACCAGCAGGCGGCATGAACACAACTGCATGTAAGGTCTCTCCACAGCTGCTCATCAAACAGGTGTTTGGTACTATATTGAGCAGAGGGGTTCAAAGCTACCTCATATATAAGTTCAAAGAGGGGAAAATAGAAACAATGGGTATAGTCCATCAAAACAGGATATATTGTGCCAGTCACGCTGAATAAAAAGCACACTACTGAAATCAAACTAGACCTTTATCTAAAAATGTTATGAAGCATTTGTCTAAGGTGCCACTTCAAATACTAACATGATTTTATTCAACATTCAAAAAAGGCTTTTGAAGGTTTTTGTCTCGGGTTGTAAAAAGAAATAAAAATAGCATGATTAATCAGTTTTCTTTACCTTTTTTGCATTTGGGAAAAGCACAGGAATGAATCTAAAGTTCATGCTTCCTTGCTGTATAAACTCAATTTGCATCTAAAATATGAAAAACAACATTAGCCCAAATATAATTGTAAGAATGATGCATTCTTATCCTCCAACCATTCTTTGTGCTGGAGCCCATTCCTACTCAACTTGTCTGCTGTATCACATTTCCTGAATCCAGTGGTTATGCTTCACATGTGCAAGCCTGTTTGTGTAGGCCTCTCCTTCTGCACTGAATTTCAGAAGCATCAGGGTGGTGCCAGCTGTTTCTTACACCAGGTCAGAAACTACATGCCCTGCCCTGCTCAGCATTCTCAGCTCTTGACAGTGCCAGTCACACATTTGGAGGTGGCAGAACTGTGTCTCGTTTCCCTTTCCCCCTCACCTTCACATTGTAAGTACATGTGTCGCAGTGTGCAGGCAACCCATTGATGCATTGATGACTGAAGACCCCTAACACTATGTTGAATTGTATTTTCTCTTCTGCTGTTTAGGTATACTAGAAAATGAGATCTAAATCTGTTTTATATTAAATAATATAAAAAAGAAAATCAGTTCCTTACTACAGAACTTGTGTTTTGTTGACAACAATACAGAATAGAATTGTATTTGATTTCTGAAATAACCTGGACTTTTGACCAGCTTAGGGGTTTAATTCCCCCCTGTCCTAATTCAATTCAGATTGATTTCCGAGCCCCCTAGAGTCCATCTCTGGTCTGAAATGAATCTGGATTAGTAACAACTGATGCTCAGGACCTGCTGTGCACACACAGATGTTTCCTAGGCTTTGGTGAAACCAGGGACACTAGGCTTGTAAGTTGGTTCTCCAAGCTACTTCCCATGTTTCAAATGAGTATCATGAAGAAAAGAAAGGGGTGCTTGACTTATAGCTCAGAAATTGTATCATGATCTGAGCTCCCCACTGTCCCTTCCTTGTGTGCTGCCAAGACATAGATATCACAAATTTTAGATATCGCAAATACCAGTTGGGTATCTGGGTGAAGAGTCTGGTTAATCTTAAATCACGACTAAGTCCTACTGAAAGCAGTGGAATATGATTTAGGCTTACATAGCTTTTGCTGAACTGTGCCTTTTGATTGATTGATTGATTGATTGATTAAATTTATATACAGCCCTTCATCAAAAATGATCCTATGTTGATGCAAAGCAATGTTGGAAGAAAGAAACTCACTAGGTTCTATCCAGCTGCATTATACAGTAGACCGAAATTAATGGACCTAAGTTAGTATTGTCCATTAATTACAGTGGTTCTAATCAAAGTGGACTCATGTTGGATAACGTCCACAAACACTATTGAAACTTCTGCCCAGCTCAGTTGGTTACAACATGGTGCTGATAATGCCAAGGTTGCAGGTTCAATCCCTATACAGGCCACATACATATTCCTGCATTGCAGGGAGTTTGACTAGATGATCCGTGGGGTCCCTTCCAACTCTACAATTCTATGATTCTAAATCAGGAAGCTTTTTCTCCTGTTAGGAGTGTTCATTGTAACAATGCTTGAAGAAATTATGCCTTTCCCTAACAAGACTTGTGCTTCTTTTTCACAGTCTGGCTCTATGTTTTTGTGTCACGTGAAGAAGTCTGATTCACTGGTGGATGTTCTTTTACTTAATACTGTACTTATCTCCCAGCTGAAAGAGGAGCCAACTTTGTTGGCAGCTTATTTGATCCGATCAGAAGAAACTCTAGAGTGACTTTGTGAGGGTGGGAGCGAGCTGAGTTTCTGTAGCAATGGGAGGGCCATAAGGGAGAGCAGATCAAATGCACGGAGACAGAGAATACACTAGCTCAGATGGGAATTTCCTTCCTTGCCTGCCCCATGCTTATGTTCATAGGTCAGGCAGTCAGATTTACTGTTGTTTGTGGATTCCCATCTCTTTCTGGAGTGAATCTGTATGAGGAAGTGCAGGCATGAGATAAGCTCATATTAAGGGACTTGGGGAAAGGGTATAAAGGGATTTAAACAGGCTGCAAAAGCCATAAAGAAAGTCAAGCAGCCAGTCATATACATTTATCTCAAACAGAACTTCTGAGCAGTCGCAAGTAGCACTGCTTCTAAAAAACACTCAGTACTAACAGGGAACACCAACAAAGCGGCACTTAACTGCAGGACTGATGAAGGACAAGACACAAAGGGCAGTTATTTGGGAGAAGGGAAGCTGCAGACCTCTTTTGAAACGGCAAGCACATGTCCTCACTTACCATCCTGTGGATATACTTAGTATGTAAGCCATGCTCATCCTTGTCCAGCTGGGATTCAGCCCCTTCAACATCCTGTTTGTATTTTGGACTGATTGCTATGATTATCATCACTGTCTTCTGTCAGGGAGAAAGACGCTTTTATGAAATTGTAAAATGCAGTGTGGTTGGGCAGAGCAGCTTGGAAACCTGCCAGTTTGTATTATACGTGATCTGATGTTCTCTGGAAGCATAAGACAATCCAGTGCATTTTGGCAATGAAGCAAAACTAATCTCTGCACACTGTATTTCCTCATACCAGATTTCCAGGCTCTCTCTCCACTAGTAAATTTTAACATACTTTAAAATGGAGAGGGGAAAAAATACATTTTAGCATTGACCGGGTTATCTCCCAGAAACATAAATCTAAAAATAATGTATGCATAAACAATGCACCATTACTGTTTATTAATTGAAACTCTATCATTCTTTCTAGTAGAATATGTCCCCTATTTCAGGAGAATCTGAATTCTATGCTCAAATAGACCATGATTTGTGACCTGTATAAAATTGTGACCATTAATAAATATCCTTACTTTTGTTTCTGTTTTGTACCTATTCTCTTCTGGTTATGCTGCCTGCCTGTTTGTTTCCAGACCAAATATAAAGTGCTGGTTTTGTCTTTTAAAGTCCTAAACCATTTAGGATGACCTAAAGGCAAGGGAACCCCCAGGAAGAAGAGGGCTCAGAGCCAGGGAATTGGTGGTGGGACAACAATATGTGGTCAGAGGAAAAAGAGGGAGGAGGTGTCGGAAGCTGAAGAGGCAACAGGGTTTTGTGAGCAGCAGGCAGTCCAGACTCAGAGGTAGAAGCAGAGGCTGGTTTTGTGAGCAGCAGGCAGTCCAGACTCAGAGGTAGAAGCAGAGGCTGGAGAGGATGGGGACCAGGAGACAGAGATGAGGCAGGCTGCATAAGAATCCAGGAACTCTCCCCCTCCTGCTGTGACCAGCTTCCCACCTCCTGGTCTCCCAGAACACACAGAGGAATGAAGAGGGTAGAGCAATGAGAGACAAGATGAAGGAGCCTTAGGCTGCTGGGGAAGGAACCAGGGGAGGAGCCTTAGAGAGCAGAGGGAAGGCAGGGACCTTCAGTCCTCACAAATGCCCCATTGAGGCAAGACCTACTCGGAAGAGTTGCCTGGATCACTAGGACTGAGCTGTTTTATTTCTTTGAATAAAGAGTTAACTTCACTGACATCAGGGGCTTTTATTGTTTTATTGCTGACCTGTACCAGACTCCAGCTCCTGACAACGACCCTGCCTGAGCATGAAGATCAGCCCCATAGGCCCTACTGCCTGGTCCACTAAGAAGATGAACAGCAACTAAGGACATGGCCTTTTCAGTGAGGCTCCTGTATTTACAGGATGCCCTTCTACAGGAAGTTAATATGCCCACCCTCGTCACTGGTGATTTTTAAAAAGAACCCGTAAGAGCTTTTTCAGTCTGTGCTTTAATTGCTGTGTCCAGAAGCAGTTTGTCAGGTGGGACAGAGCCACAACACCAGCTTCTTGGCAGGTGAGTCGCCATGCTGTCGTTTCTGCCACCTCCCCATCCAGGTAAGCATTAGTAGCTCACTGCTGGGAAGCTAGCGTAGCAGCTGTGCCCCAACAGCTTCAGATTGTGTCTTGATTAAGTTTTACTTTTCATTTGAAGAGGTATAATGAGGATTTTAACTGAATTTTGTTCATACACACACACACACACACACACACGAGCAGCAAATTCACCTTGCTGAAACATTTTTGAGCCTGTTTTCACGGTTTGGGGCCCCTGGAAAGAACTTGTTTATTTTTAAATAATTAAAGCGAAGGCATGATTCTGCCTTCAGCTGTACACTTAGCACTAACACAATGTCATTGTGGAATGCACACAGCTTGTCAACAGTTATTTTAATCTTATGTAGGTCCTCCTTCCCCAAATGCTTTAGACTGCAAGCCTAAACTCCATTTTGCCAGGAGTAAGCCTCCCTAAATTTAGTAGAGCCTAACCTCTGAGCCAGTGGCGTAGCGTGGGGGGTGCAGGGGGGGCCGGCCGCACCAGGCGCAACATCTGGGGTTAGGGCAAATCCATGGGTTAGGGGGCGCAAATCCACAGGTTAGGGGGCACAAATCCACGGGTTAGGGGGCGCAAATTACTTGCCTTGCCCCAGGTGCTGACAACCCACGTTACGCCGCTGCTCTGAGCATATACGCTTAGGATTGTGCTCTTTCGTTTGTGATCCTAAAATACTTAGCAGTATCTTCTATGCAAAGCCTCTATGTCAACCAGTGTTCCAAAATGCATAGGTTCCCTATCATGAGGAAATTTGGAAATAGAAAGTGTTTGCAAACTTTTTTCAGACTTCCTGAGAAGATTGGGGTGGGGTGTGCAATGGACATAGAAAGTGCACCCACAAGGATGTTGGGGCATGGCTGGCATAAGTCGCCCTCCTTCCCCACGCATTTGGAATGCTTGAAAAGGCCTGATGTGTTAATTTTATTTTGTTTGCATTTATAAGCTAAAATCACAAATGTTTTTGCTTCTGCGTGCAACATATAAAAACCTAAACAAATAAATATGTGGCTTACACAGGCATTTTACAGATCTATGAAAGCCAAGTTCTCCTATCTCAGAAGGCTCACATTTTAAATTAGACAGAATGGGTGGGGAGGCAAGGGTAGGAACAACATGAATAATTAAGTCACAAGGGGGGCAGGAGATGCTTCTGTTTCAGTCCGTGGGTTCTTACCAATATTGTCTTAAGGACTGATTCCTTAAGGATTGCCGTTGAGCTTCCTATGACCAAAACTGTCTTTGAGCTGCCTGTGGAAAATGCTTGTACAAGAACCACCTTTTCCCCCTTTACTTACATCACTCAGGTAACGTTCCATCCACTTGATAATGTCAATACCTCGAACTGTGTCCTCAAATATATCAATCTATAAGAACGGGGAAATATTAACATTTCTTCAGCTCTGTGCGCAGAGGCAAATATTTCCATCAATACAAAGAAGATTCACAAAGTATTTCCAAGGCATATTGAAGGCATATGACTTCCCTCAAAAGAATCCTGGGAAGTTTAGTTTATTCTTCACAAAGCTACGATTCCCTGCAACCTTAAACTACAGTTCCCATAATGCTTTGGGGGAAGCCATGCTCTTTAAATGTTTATTGGATGTGCTTTGATGGCATAATATGGTTCTACCCTCAATGTGTAGTTTCCCAGTTCAAAAGCTGAGGTGCAAGTGTACATAGTCTAACAAGGCTCTCTATTCACAAAGAGCCAGGGCATTTCTGCAGCTTGGTAAGTTTCTGCTAGCAATATCACAGCTGACAAGGAATCTCCAGGGACCTCAGCTAATTATTTTCCCCTTCTGTCACCTGAGGCCGACTCCAGATGGGTCTTTGACAGCAGGTGTATTCTGCAAAAACCGTACACACTTTCGGTGTATTTTAATGGTTTTGTTCTGGACCTCCTGCTCCTCCTCCTTCAAAAATGTTCTTCTGTACTACTGCATTATTGACTCTGTACTGTCCTCCTTTGATTCCATCCAATCCTTTGTTTCAATTTCCATTATCTGCCTTCCCCTCCATGGTCTTTAGCAACACTGAGCCATGGCTCCATATCACCTTGCCTAGTATTCTGCAAGATTGAACCCCAGTTTGTCAAAAGTGGCAAAGAATCACTTCCCCCTCTAGAAAAAAGAGGCATTATTCAGAGTTTGTGAGGTCATTCCGTCTTGTCCCCTGTGCTGTTGTGTAGGATTCTTGTATTCCAAGACAGTTCACTGCCTGGGGTTTAGGCTGTGATGCAAAGTTTAGACCACTGTTTAACCTTGAACTCCTTCAGTGACCTTGAGGGAAAATACAACCCTATCCACACTTGCCCTGAAGCCCTATTGAACACAGTGTGACTTGCTTCCAAGCAAAACTGCATAAGCTTGTGTTGTACAGGTGATGTAGAAACAGTTTCAATGTTCCAAAGGATTGTCAGTACAACCTTACTCCACTTAGTGTATTACATAAACTTTGCATTGGAATTTCAAATACACCACTTAAGCCTCTTCCCCCCTCATTCATATATTTAGGGTTTGAGTACATGCCACTGCATACACGATTCATCAACGCAGGCAGGAACATTAAAAAGGAAGACAAAGCTTTAAAGATATAGACAACTGATTTCATACATTCTTGATTGAATTCCAGCAAAGGGAAACACCCTTCCAGAATAGAGTACTTACAGCTGTCTGAAATCCATTTACAAACAAAAAGTTCACAAATTTCATGACTTCCTCAGCTGTGTCCACAGAGTAGGTTATGAAGACTTTACCTAAGAGAGATGATCAAAGTATTGTTCAAAGTACCAGAAAAAGGCGCTTGCCTTTTCTTTGTTATACTAGCACAGAGCAGACAATAAGCTCTATCTTGTTTGATTTAGATAATAGTCATAATAATTTATTACTTATACTCCACCCATCTGACTGGGTTGATTCTTATTTGTACAATGGAGCTGAACTGGCTCAGTGTCTTGTGATCATGCTAGGCATCTCCATTAGAGACCTGTAGAATACCTTTAATTTGTCCCATGTCCCTGCTCCGAAAAGCAGAAACCCTCAGAGTATATGACACTTTCAATGGAAAATGCTCCTTCTCCAACCACCTAATGATTCCTGGACCCTAACGTTAAAAAAATGAAAGTTCATAAATACGACTGTTATAAGCCATGAAAATATCACTTCCTCCTAATCCTTCTAGCTGTCTGTTCTCCAGATTAATTGCATGGTGTCTGCCTAACACTTTGAACTGCATGCTACTTTGAACCCCAAAATGTGGATGTGGTTAAATCAAGGGTATGGGGAGTAGAAAGAACCTCAGGCCTAGCAGAGCTGTATCCAGGCAGTCTCCACCGGGAATAGTTTCAGGCCCTTTAAGGATATAGCATCGGCTTCTGGTGAAAAAGATCCACTTCCAGGACAACTAGAAGAAACCAATTGCCCTGGTGTTATCTGCTGTTAGGCTGAGGCAGCACTAGAAGTTGCTGTGATCAACAGGAGAGTGTGGTTCTATGTATGCATGATTCTGCTAGGACTGGGCCATCCACTTTCTTCACTAACCAATGCTATGGCTTTATACACAATTTTCCAAACATGGCAGTGGGGTGGGGGACTTACGCAGCTCTTCTGGCAAATTACTTGTCCTCAGTGTTCCCCTGACTGCAAAATTACTTGGAGGCCTTGGAATGGCAGCTGGGCATAGTGGGCCATTAGGCTGAGCCATGGAATCAGAAGGGCACCTATAGATGTCCTCATGAGCGCCATAAGCCTTGGATGATGCTCCACCATGCAGTAGCTGGTTCTGAAACTGGCCACTAGGAAAAACATGAAGAGTCATTATAAAATGTTAAAAGCTGCTGATTCTAACAGCACATGCGCGAGGCCTATTTTAATGAGAAATTTTTCCTTTTACGAAAAAGTCACTTTAGCAATAAAAAGGTGGCTCAATGCATGACTGATCTCATGCTGTCAGCTCCAGAAGAGATCACAAATAGCCTAAGAGAGTCTCTCTAGGAGGCCCTCCAGCATCTTTCCAGAGGCTGCTTAAAGATCCAATAGCCCCCCAATAAGCCCAGGTCAGGGAGCATGTGCCACTAGCCCCTGAAGAGACCACCAGAGGTCTAAAATAATTCTGTGGCCAGTGCTTTATTATTTTAGCTTTTAATTTTGCTTGTTCTAATATCTTAAATTGCAAAGTTCCTGCAGTGCATTGGCCAAAAACTGGGTTATAAATGTAGCAAAAAAGAGATAAACGTACTCGGCATTCTGAAAAACCCTCTCTGTGTGATATAAAAGCAGTCTGGTACTGTGAATCACCCAGGCCTTTATACCAGCTCCAGCTAGCACAGTCAGTGATCAGGGATTATGGGAGCTGTAGTCCAAAATGTTGGAAAGGCACCTGATTGGGGAAGGCTGTTTAGACCTACTTTAGCTGCCACAGTTAAAACAACACCTTATGCATACCAATAGCACCACTGCTACAGTCAAGACAGCCTCTGAAAAGCTTGCGTTAGCTTCCGCCAGTTTCTTGCAGCTGAAATTTTCCAGTGAATCTCAGGACAAACTTACTACAATCTTTGAAATTCTCCAGAAGAGCTCTCTCTCTCAGGGAGCCTTTCTTCATTGCATTTAGGAGAAGGAGGACTGGAATAATTTGGGATTATTTGCCGGCCAGGATGGATGGCTCTTACACAAGGGCCAGGAACAGGAAGCCGTGGTTGAGGTGGCTGTGCAAAGTGTTGGTAGCGTCTTTGCCCATCTAAGAGTAGAAAAGGAAAACTTGAGCCACTGCATAGTTAAGTCACCTTTGAACAACAGAATTTAAGAAAACAGCTAATGAATATGATCAAACTACGAATTTAACACATTGCACCAATTAGAATCGATAGGCTTAAGAATGAAATTGTGTACTAAAAAATGGTCTCTGTCACTTTAAGCAGAACTTCCAATTTGCTGAAGGTGATGCCCGCGATGTAGTGGCAGGCTGTAAAGTTCGCTTCACTAGTTGAGTGATGGAAATAGGTTCACAGTATACCTAATGGGAATGATCCACTTTTTTACTTCCAGAAAAGGTTAGCAGTATGTTACCTCACGCTGGAAGATATGGCAGATTTGGAATCGAGAATCTTGACAATTAAGAAAATTGCCAGTGTTGTGAACATACTAAAATGGTGTGAAATAAAATTATGAGCATCAATACTGGAGGGTTGTTTTTGTTTAAGTTCACAGTGCAATCAGGTTTCTCTCCTTGAAAACCTTGGGCACAATTCAGCCAAAGTCAAGCATTTCTACTAGGGATTTAAGCATGTGCTTCACTGTCCCACTGAAATCAATAGTCTTAAAATTGGTTAGTTGTAGATAGATTGTGTTTTGTATTTTTCATGGTTTTCTTATGGTTTTAGATTTTAAGAAAACACCTGGCCAAATTAAGCACTCTTTCAGCAAACTAATGAATAGGATAGAGGAACAGGGCAACCCTTTGCATATTGACATCAAAGGAAGCATTTGATTTTTTGATTGATTACTATAATCCAGTTTGATTATGAGTTATAGAAAAGTGGGAAACAAATGTTGGAAATAAACAAATAAATAAATGAGGCTTACTTCTAGATCAGTGTGGGGAGGATTGTGGCCTTAGACACCATGTTAACTCATTGAAATGAACAAAGTCTCAAAGTGCTTCACTTTAGTGTGATCATAAACTCAAAAAGCTACAAGACTCGTGACGGAAATGCAAGAACTAGGAATGCTCCAGCTCCAGCAATTTATCTTGCCCTTCCTTCCATGGGAATATGAGCTGGTTTCACCTCCAGCAATCACATACCTGTGATTTGAATACTAGGAACTCCCTTGCAAAAGTAACATTCATTTCAGAAGGCATTATCATTGAGAGAATGCAGCTGAAATGCAGTGCTGAGTCTATTATGAATATGAGAGAGCAGATGCCCTGGCTAGATGGCTGCCTGGGAGCACAGCACACTAGATTGTTTCTGCCTAGAAGGTGCACATTAGAACACATTAAGTACAAAACCCTATTGTGAGCGATGATTGCCCAGTAATCATTGGAAATGTGAAAAGCTGTCAGGAAGCCATTTTATGCCTCGTAGAAGATAGGAAGTTAGTAAGCAAAATACTGCCTCCAGCTCTGAACAAGTATGTTGTTTGGGGTTTTTGTGGGGTGGGGGGAGGCTCTTGAAATATGGCTCAAATTACATAATGGCTCATGTTTTAAAGAAAGTGTTGTTCAAGTAGCACTGTTAAACTAGTATATATTTAACAGGGTGAGAAATGAGGGGGCGGTGTAGTCTGGGTCCATTTAGCAGGTAATTTTTGTCTTTATGTTCTAGGTTTCCCTAGTGGGGTGAATAAATCTGATGTGATAGTGGCTCAAACTTCGAACACTTCCATGGAAAGGCATGATGAACCAGACTGTCCCAGGCCTGGGGATTCCTGTGCATTTTCAGCTATCCTCCTAATTATCACTTATATCTTTTCGAATACAGTGGTACCTCAGGTTAAGAACTTAATTCGTTCTGGAGGTCCGTTCTTAACCTGAAACTGTTCTTAACCTGAAGTACCACTTTGTCTAATGGGGCCTCCCGCTGCTGTTGCGCCGCCGCTGCACAATTTCTGTTCTCATCCTGAAGTAAAGTTCAAGGTACTATTTCTGGGTTAGTGGAGTCTGTAACCTGAAGCATCTGTAACCCGAGGTACCACTGTATCATCATTTCTCATCGTGGAAATTATAAATCTTCATCTAGTGCAGCTTTGTGCAAGAACGTGGCACATTATGGGCACGTGGTGGGATTGCTTCTAGTCGGAAGCATCAGGGTGCCAGAATGCAGGGATGACACGAAAGAGGACATGGCATCCAACTATCTGTCAGGTAACAACACTAGCAGATGGCTATAAAAGCCATAAGACCCCCAGGGAAGATGAGGCACATTGATGTGGGTAAATTCACTATAACAGGGAATCTAAAAACAGCTATAACTTTTCACAGAAGTGAATGAAACTTGCAGCCCCTCCAGAGTATGGAGCCTGATAAACTGTAGGCAGATACCCATAGGGGTTTTAATGCAGGAACAGGGCACCTTTCACATTTCCTCCCCTGAACACAGACATTACAATTTCTGCAGTACAGCATGAACCTGGGAACTAAGGGGAGGCAGGGGTGTTGAGGGAAAGAAATGTCTCCTTGTAATTTTGGGTACATACAGAGTTGATGCATACCCTTAGTCTAGTTTTAGCAAGTTGATAATAGGAGAGAAAACTATTGAATCTTCAGATTCTGGCAGAAAGGAAGGAGAAAAATGATGGAATTGATTAAAGAATGAAAAAGGGAAATATTATCAGGACAGGAAGTTATAGTAGAGAAAGGCAAGTGTCAGATCACAAAATGTGAGGATTAGATTAGCAGAGATTTCTCCTTCAGAAGTGTAAACATCTGAACTGCGCAGCTGATTTGTTGAATGGAATCCCCAGCCTTTATGAGGTCACTGGTATAGCTAAGAACTGCAAACATAAACGTGGGTGGCAAGAAATGCTAGAAGCCAGAAGCACACGTTTCTTATGATTAAATATAGTTGGAAAAACTTGTGCAAAATTCTCTAAGCTACTTAGGGAAAAAAAGTATTCTGAATACCTGACCAGTTAACTTACATGGATTCTGGCAATGTAAATCCCCAGGAATGTAGTATCTAGGATGCCACTGAGATTGTGGGGAAGGATGGGCTAGTTGTGGGAACACAGGATATGGCTGAGGGTCCATCTGCGGTAACTCTCTGGACATCAGAGGCCTTGGAAGGTCTTGGAGGTTAAACACGGAAGTAAGTGGCAATGGAGGTTCTAGCTGCCTGATGCCCATAAGATCCAGAGGCTGAGAATCATATCCTGCATCTTCTGTTCGTAGGTCTACTGGTGGTCTATTACATTGAGTTTGGTTTAGATTTGCATCCTCCTGACTTTCACCAGATGAATTTTGGTAAATGTCAGATGAGCTTTGTTGCAGACCACTAGAATTGTGTCCAGTGTCAGGAGAATCAGCTGAAGGCCTAGACCTCAGCAGCTGGTTCCTTTTGTCTATAGATAAAATATGAAGTTCCGATGAAACTGTTGATTCAGTGAATGGACCAGGAGGTATATCCCTTCTAGAATCCTGGCATCGTTGCAGGTGATTGTGGTTAGACGCTTCCAGATCAGCATTATTATAATCCACACGATTAAGGTGCTTGCAGAAACATGATTGCCTAGTCAATGAATGAGAAGCCATTTGAGAGGGATAAGATCCTATGGGCACCAAGTTCTCTATATTTTCACCAGAAGGGTCCAAAGCCTCTTCCAGTGAATGCTCTGGAAATGGCGACCAATCTCCAGTTTCATCATGTTCAACTGGTATACTTCGACCCATCGCAGCACCTAAAAATAGAAAAGAAATACAGTATAAAGTGTCTATTGATTTGTTATATATAAAATACAAGCAAATGATCTTGTGATCTTGCTTTGATCTTGTGAACAACTTGGATAGCTCAGTTGGTTAGAACGTGGTGCTGATAATGCCAAGGTTGCAAGTTCAATCCCCATACTACTACTACTACTACTACTACTACTACTACTACTACTACTAAATTTAATTATACCCCGCCCTCCCCAGCCAAAACTGGGCTCAGAGCAGCTAACATATATAACATATTACCATAAAAGCAATCAATTAATTAAAATGCACCCTAAAATCAAATCAGAATCAAAGTGAAATCCAATCAGATGGCAACCTGCAAATTAGGGATGGGGACCTTAAGTGCTCACCAGGCCTAACTGTTTATACTGATCTTGTATGAGCCTGTGAGAAAAGTTGGGGGGCCACTTTCATGCAAGTTCTTATAAGGAGAAAGGGGAAGTCAGATGGGACCCCAGCCAAAGGCCTGGAGGAACAGCTCCGTCTTGCAGGCCCTGTGGAAAGATGCTAGATCCTGCAGGGCCATGGTCTCTTGTGACAGAGCATTCCACCAGGCCGGGGGTACAGCTGAAAAGGCCTTGGTCCTGGTTGAGGCCAGACTAATCTCCTTGAGGCCTGGGGCCTCCAAGATGTTATTATTTACGGACCGTAAGGTCCTCTGTGGGGCATACCAGGAGACCATATGGGACAGCTGGATATTCCTGCATTGCAGGGAGTTGAACTAGATCAGGGGTTGGCAAACCAAGGCACGGTGGCCGGGTGTGGCCCACCGGGCCCATTAATCTGGCCTGCGAAACTTGCCACCCGCTCAGTCAGTCCTTGTGCTAAACTGGCCCGGTGCGGAAGCCTCGCCGCGCAGGGACTGACTTCTGCGATGCTGGCGCGGCTTCTGCAGCCAATCTGAAGCTGCAGATGCCTCTGGGTGACGCCCCTTCCTTCTCACTGAGGCGGCCACGTATGGCCAAGAGCCGAGCGGGAGGAAGCAGCAGCGGCAGGGAGGCTGCCTCCACCACCCAGGCCAGCGGCTTGGGCTCTGCGCCCTGCGGACCCCTGGCCGAGGCAGAGGATGACGACACTGCCGAATATGAGGTGGCGGCGGCGCCTTTTCTGGAGAGGGGGGCCTTTCCGGGGGGGTGTGCTTTTGGGAGAGGGTGGGTCCGGCCTCCCACAAGGTCTGAGGGACAGTGGAGCAGCCAGCCCCCTCCTGAAAAAGTTTACTAACCCCTGGACTAGATGATCCCTTCCAGCTACAATTCTATGATTCTATGCTCAGATACCTGCAAGCAGAATTAACTTGGGCACAAGTCACCTTGAGCGGCCCCTAACCCCCCATATTTTCGTTTCATAGCCAACCCTTTCGTTTCATACCCAACCTTTTCTCCAGGTGAGATGTGTGTTTTTATGCCAGTGTTGGAAGGCATTTGGCATTCTTTCAAGGATAATTTTTCACAGCGAGCAGCACACTGTTTACCCATCTCTGATGTGATTCGTGATTAGACAGCCAAGAGATTACGATGCATTTTATCGTCACTGGTTGAATGGCTTTTGAAGAATTAAATTAACTCTGCATAGTTGTGGATCAAAAATACTAACCTGTTAGGGACGCCATTTCGATATTTTTTAAGAAATCCGTCGATAGATGTACCAACTGCAGATGCAACTGCGCAGGGGAAGACAAAAATATCATAGCTGAGGATCAGAGCAAAACTTTTGATCACATTGATCTTTCAGTATGGATTCTTAATCTAGTGGCAGCATTCCTATCTAGTCTTCTGTACCACAGATGCTGTGTTGGTTTGGTTCCTTAGAACCTGGTGTTCTGGTCTATTTTTTTTCTTAAAAGTGGGCTCTGGCTAAAAATAGGTTAATAAAAGTTCATTTATGCAATATATTGTTTGTGACGGTCTCCAACACACCACACATCTTTTTTTACTATGATTTTATTTATAAAATAGTTCCATTCTAGCTATTACACCTTCCCAAAGGACCTTTCATACTTTTTAGGGTGGTATAACACTTCAGAACCAAGAGTTAATACTTGTTAAGGACATCCTACTTTAGCTCTCCTGCGTTTTCATTTTAAAGCATCCATTTGGGCTCTGGGTGTATGGGTAAAATACCCTGAATTTCATAGTTGGTGACTTATCTAAATTAGCAATTTCCAATTCCATATTGCATCTCTTTTATGGAGGCAATAAACACATAAAACTAGGTAGAGGTGAGAATATTCTTTGTTAAACCCCTTAGAAGTTTTAGTTACAGTTAAGAGATATGCATTTTGTTACATAAATTTGCCACAGAATGTCCAAGTATGGAGTTGGTGGCAGATCTAGATTGGAAGGTGATGCAGGAGAGGGAGGGTGCAAGCCTTTGCCTTTGCACTATAGCCCCAAATCAAGCCAGCGCCCTCCCAAAGCTGTTATTACCCACAGAGGGAAAACCTAAAGGACTTAGGATCCTAACAAGTGAGTGTTTGTTTCTCCATTCTGACCTGTGCAGCTCTCTGGTCCAAAAATCTGTGCGTTTAATTGGAGGAAGCACATGTTATTCATGGTTAATTTTTCTTGCCAAGTTTGGAAGAATAATAACGTGTTCCAGTAGAGCTGATTTGATGTGTTCCTTCAAGCTTCACTCATTTTGCAGTTGCATAAGGGAAAGTTCAATATTAAAACTGAAACAAATTCAATTTAACTTCTTCAGTTTCTGCTGAGGAGAAACCACTGAAAACTGCCTGCACATACCTAGAGTCCTGTAGACTTAAACTGTAGTAACCTCCACACCATCAGAAATAATCACTTTAAAAATGTTTTTCTCTCTGGAGGAACATAAACAGGCATGATGAAAATCTACTCCTAAATGAAATATAATAGGAGATCTGCTGACTGGGTCAGAGAACAATCCTGTCCCCCTTCTTTAACCTCTAAAATATCAGACTGAATCTCATCCTTTCCCAAAGGACTGCAGAATCAAAAAATACATGGAAAGAAAAAGGCACCCATTAGTAGCAGAAAGTGAGATCAAATGGACACTGCAACTAGACAATCACTCTACAATTTATTTTTAAAACGAATGCTTTTTTTTGTTTCCTTTATTGCTTCATGGTCACAATGATGTTTTATTGTAACTGCAGAGATGTTGGAAGAGAATATAAAAGACCCAGGAGAACATTTTCATACTGTATCCTCAGCTTGAGAAAAGTTCATTCTGACTTTTGTTTCCAAAGGATTGGGGCAAAAGTAATTCAATCCTGGTTTAAACAGCTCTGAGCTCTGTCTATAATACGGTCTTCAACCTTCCACTTCCCAACTCATCTGAATATACAATGAATATATCAGTGTGGCAGGGAAGTAACAATAGTGCTGCAGTGCCAATGTTAAAAAAATAATAATAGAGCAGGAGACTCTTAACCTCAGGGTCGTGGGTTTGAGGCCCACTTTAGGCAAAGGTTTCCTGCACTGCAAGGGGTTGGGCTAGATGACCCTTGTGGTCCCTTCTAACTCTGCAATTCTATGGTTCTATGGTTTATTTAATTTATTATTACATTTCTACCTCACCTTTCCTTCAAGGAGCTCAAGGTGACATACAGAGTTCTTTCCCTTCCCTGTTTTATCCTCACAACAACCCTGTGAGGTAGACTAAGTTGAGAGAACATGACTGGCCCAAAGTTCTCCAGTGAGCTTTCCATGGCTGAGTGGGGATTTGACTCAGGGTCTCCCCGGTCTTAATCACACACTCTAACCACTGCACACTGCTATTAAAACTTATAGCACTGATCATCTGTTCAAGGCGAGCATATGCACAGATACTTGAAAGCATGGGAACATACCGTAGGTTTTTGCATTATACTGACTTACACTCTTGAACAGTCTAGCTCAAAATTGGCTGCATTAACAAAATTTAGGATCTATTAACTCCTATGTTTTCTCTCCCTTCCTTGTCAAAACTACATTATGCAACACAAATTCCTTCTGCAAATTGCTCTGGAGGTCTTCAGTGAGAGATTTGGCAGAAAACTCAAGCTCTTGTGAGTAGGCTGTTCCAAATCTGAGTTGCAAAAGGCCCAGACAGAGAGGCGATCTTCCATTTGGCCTGTCAGTGTGATTGAAGGACTAGGAAACACCAGAAGCACGGGAGCAGTTTCCCCTTAGCTAAAAGAAAGAGACACAGCAATGTTGATAACCAAATGACTGTGCCAATGGATAACAGTCATTCAGGCTTCCAAGATGTGGTAGATGAGTAGGAAGAGAAGCAGATGCTAATAACTAGCTAATAATTTATCATGGATGAGTTCATATTGATGGTTGAAATGCACAACATAATAAGATTCAGCATTTAAGAAAGATCACATCTTACTCTCATGCTCAGTTACAAATTCACACTGCTTCGTACAATTCTTCACATAGATTGTTTGAAATCTGTGTAGTTTCCTGCTTAAAGGCTTGTGTCGGCCTACAGATTTCCAAAGAACAGGCCTCGCTAAACCAGCCTGCTTTTGATTAAACCTTTTCTGACAGGAAGAGAAAGAATGCACAGTGAAGAATAGCGTACTAGGTAAATTCCTCCCACTTCAAAGGCCTTCCGTTTCATGCTGTTTAAGACAGGCCCATAGCTAGGATTCAGGCATGTGAAGAAAAGAGAGGAAGCAGACTACTGAGTAGAGAGGGGGGCAGGCAGAGGGAATAAGAGAATTACACTTGCCTTCATATGCTTTTGTCACAGCATTTTTCTTAAATTAAAAAGTGTACAGGACAAAAGACGCATGTCCAAAATAACTATTCATCAATCTCACTATTCTGCTTTCAACAGCACTCAGTTCTGCATATTTCACAGAAACATTTAGCAGTATAAAGCATGGAACCCTAGCAACAACTTTCTTCAGCTATAGGTCTGTGACAATGTCCCTCTCCCATAAAAAGTGTGTGTTGTTTATTAATGTATTTCTATTTGTTATCTTGTATTTCTATCTATTATCTATTATTTATTAATCTCTGACAACAAAATCCACTAACATTACTAACTGCTTAACCATTTAACTAGTAGCAATAACTTGTGAGCCCCGTAAAAACACACCTTTTGAAAATACCAAATCCATTACAAATTGGATTTGGAAGCCATACGGAGGTCGACACTTCTCACACCCATATGTTTAAGTAAGCTCATTTTGCATTGCATATAGGAGGAGCAGAAGAATTGCAGCCAAGGTCTCTCAGCCTGTGAGGATCTGCTGTAGCAAGGCCTGACATTTCCCCACGACAGTGCTGCAAATGTACAGGGCAACAGAAGCAAACTTCCCGTGGTTTCAAAATATCTGTCTTCCCCACTGATAATCGGATATAACTACCTGCAAAGTGGTCACCAAAGCTCTTAAGCGCAACCCTTTTGCTACTGGAGATAATTGGCAACCAAGAAGAGCACACCCAGAAAGAGAAGAACAAACCACATGAGAGAAAGTGGGTCAGCAGCGCTAGTGAGAAATACATAAGGAAGTGGGGTGGAAGGACCTTTGAGAACTTACCTTAGACCCCAGAAGATGACTAGGGAGGCAGAGAGGACCACCCTAGCCTTGCTAGGGTCCTTCTTCTCTTAGGAATTCTTCTCTTCCCCTCCCTTTTCTCTCTCTCTCTCTTTTCCCCTGCCTTCCTCTGCCAGGTAAGTTGCTGAACAGGCTTCGTCTGTACCAGGAAGTAAAACAGTCTATGCAAATCACACAGAAACAGAGTGGGACGCCTCTTTCTGAAAAGCCCAGAGGGCAGACAAGGGGGAAATGCAATCGATAAGAGAGCAGAACGACGTTAAAAATTGACTAGAGATTGTCTAAGGAGGCGAAGCTCTTTTTCTTTCAGCTGTTGGGGGAAGTGGGAGAAGAGGGCATTCTACTTTAATTTCTGACAGAGAAAAAGTATGAAGATCTTCACTTTGTGTTACAGAGTGGGAGAAGGTAGAACAGCTGAATCAAATATTAGTACATCAGCTACAAATACGCCATTGTACAATTCTAAATGCTAACATGAGAGTTTTCAGGTTAGGATATGATGGGTGTTTATTTTATTGTTGAAAAGTGGGGTGTACATCAGTGGGCTTGGTTTTAGGTGCTGTTTGTGAAAATATGTGATTAAAAAAAAATCCCCCAAGCAATGAGACTTAAACATCTTTCAATATAAAGTATATAATTTAAAGTGGAACATAGCACAAGAGCCTGGTTTTAATGTGGCCAATCCTGGGAAACCTAGAAAACCTTTAAAAGCTGTGTGCTGGCAGAAGCTTGTGGGGTGTTTTCCCTGACCCCCATCTCTGCAGCAGAGCTACAGAAGAAGCTGCACCTATTCAATCAGATCAGATGTAGTCAACATGGTTCCTCTCAGCCACTGCTGGACTCCCAACTCCCATCAGCCCAGGTGAACAAGTGAATGGCCAAGAATGATGGGAGTTGCAGTCCAACCACATCTGAAGGACACCACTTTGGCTTCCCCCACATCAGATAGTATCCACGTCTTCCTGAAGGTGCACAATGATGGCAGGAGTGTGCACTGTTGAGTGTTGCTGCACAAAGATGCATAGAGAGCCTTGAGACAGCCGTGTCAACTCTTCCCCTCTTGCTTTTTTCCATTTGGAAGCTAGACAGGTGGGTGAGGGTTGTATGGAATTGCTGATTTGGCCCCGTGTGGCTGAGGCATTTCAGAACCCTTCACCACCCAGCTGCCAAGCGGTCCTCTCCTTCCTAGCAACTTATTGGATGATCCCACCCACCTCTACTGCTTCAATGTTGGAAGGAAGACTGGCTGCTTGTCATGCTTGTCAGACGACAGGGCCTGCTCTTGTCAACTTTGGCCCTGAGATGGAAGAGCATTTTTGTTTTATTATTTGAAGCATTTTGAACATCTCTTTAAATGTACTTATTCTTTGATTAAATCAGTTAAAAGGAATATGATTAACGAACTAAACATCTTTAATCAGTGGAAGGGCCTCAGCAAAGAGCAATGGTGATTAGAAATGCCAGGAGAGTCTTCATTCTCCATTTTGAAGAGTACTTACCTTGTTCCTGTTTGCTGGTGGAGTGGGGAAGCTGAAATGAAAAGCACCACAATTTTCAGCCTAATTTTTGCTAGTAAGAATATTTTGCTATTTATTATTTAAATAAAAAGAAAATGGTTATAGTTGTGCGTGCAGGACTGGCCCAAGATGTTTTACTGCCTGAGGCAAAAAACAAGCCCCACACCTCAATTTCATATACAGAAGCTGACCAGCCTGGCAACTTTATTATTACTTGACATCTTTCCGCAGGGCCTGCAAGACGGAGTTGTTCCACCTGGCCTTCGGTCCAGGCCCGGTTTGACCTCCCTCTATCGGACTCTGTAAATTACCTCTTTGGCCCTTTTATCGACTCATGTGAGACCAACATGGATAGCTGGCCCTGATGAGAACTTGAGGTTCCCAACCCTTATGGTTGTAATTCGTGGGCAATCATTTAATTTTATCCTGATTCTAATTTTTAAGCTGTATTTTAATCAATTGTTCAATTGTGTTTTAATGTATTTTATATTTGATGTTAGCTGCTCTGAGCCCATCTTGGCTGGAGAAGGTGGGGTATAAATAAAAAATTTACTTACTTACTTACTTACTTACTTACTTACTTACTAGAGGCCAGTGTCCTCCCTTGTGTTGGCGAGCAGCAGGCAAGCTTTGGGCAAGGCAAACCACCCCATGGCACATTCCTCTCTGTCCTCTAACACCTCACCATTGTTTCCTTTCCCTCAGCCTCTGCTGCCTGAGGCAGCCATAACAAATGGTAGGGATGGTCCTCTGTGTATGTATTACCTCACATAATTTTTTAAAAACACATTTCATTTTGATAAGCCCAGTGCAGGCATTCTTCTTGAAATTAAATTTCTTGTTCTCAGGAGCTGTATCTTTTAATACTGTACCACCATTGTTGGAAATGTTGGATATCTAGCAGTGAGTCATTTAGAGATTATTGGACAGGTAAGATACATGCACAGGTGGAAGGCTGAAAATTAAAAGTGCTTTGCAAATCATAAATAATTCAGTGACCCTCTTCCATGAAGCATGAGATCAGGAGGAGGCCCTTCATAGCTAACTTTGTGGCTTGTTTCCTGGCTTCTCCTATAATTATATTGCCATAGGTAATAAAACAAAGGCATTGTGCAGTAGGTTGAGGGAAGAACTTAGCTTTGGCCTTTGCATTAAAATAAACCTTTGTGTAGCTCATTATGTGACTATTGACGTTACTGCATATCAATCTCAGTACTCAGAATTATACAACACAATCCTATACATGTCTGTTCAACAGTAAATTCTATTATTATTATTATTATTATTATTATTATTATTATTATTATTATTATTAAATTTGTATACTGCTCTTCATCTGAAGATCACAGGGTAGTTCACAACATAAAAACACAAAATGATAACATAAAATACATTTAGATCAATGGGGCGCATTCCCACATAAATATGTACAGGGATTGCAGCCATTGTGACCTGCCTAGCTGCTGCTGCTGCTGCTGCTGCTGCTGCTGCTTCTTCTTCTTCTTCTTCTTCTTCTTCTTCTTCTTCTTCTTCTTCTTCTTCTTCTTCTTCTTCTGTAAGATTGTCTTCCATAAACATGGTTTTAACAGTGAGTCCATAAGTGACTGTGGAGGCCAATTCTGGATCCACACGTCCTTTCACAGTGGAGACATTGGTTTCTGGGCGGGAGTCGATCATGGTGTGGATTTGCCAAGCGTGCCTTCCTCTTAGCACGTTTATCCCTTGCGTCCTGAGTTTGAGTGTCTTCAAAGCCCATGACACATTTGGTAAAGGCTGTTCTCCAACTGGAGCGCTCGCAGGGCAGTGTTTCTCAGTTGTCAGTGTTTATACTAGATTTTTTTTATGTTGTGAGGGCAAACCCAAGCTTACACAGCATTCTGCAAAAAGGGCTTCTATCCTAAACAAGCTTACCAGGGAGTAAGCCCCATTGAACTTGTTAGGGTTTATTTCTGAGTAAACAAGGTGAGGATCATACTGCAGAATGCTAAGCAGATTATTATTATCATCATGCAATGCACTTTTGTAGCACCACTGATTTCGGTATGAGAGAGAGAGAAGCTTATCTCTTCTACTGAAAAAGTGATCCATTTTCAGTTTCATATCAGACCTAAAAATACTTTCTAATTTTTGCAAACCTGGCATGTTTATTTCTCAGGCAATTTCTCCAACAATAAAAAATGATATTATGCAAGGCAGACTTCTCACTGTGAGCTGACAGCTGTCTTCTGGTTCCGTGATTGCTCCCAAAAGTTTTCCAGACAGTGTTTGCAAGAATATGGCAGCCAAGTGAGGAAAACTATTCCCAGTTGTTGGCCTTGTTACTATTCCATGGTTCCATTGCCTTTAGAAATGAAGAAGATCATAGACTGGCAAAACATAAGGCACACAGTCTGTGTTTCTTTTCAGGATAGAGCTCAAGTTTGAGAATGTGTTCATCCTAAATATTTTGCAAAGGTTTTTATAGTTAAAAAAAAACCCACTGGAACCAATGCAGCGAAAGGATATATAGCCGTTACTTCATTTTGTTCAACTTGTGGTGGATGATATAAGTGATTTGGCTTAGCCTTTTCTTTCTGTGGGAAAAGGGTATCAGATGTTAATGCTGTGTAAGCAGCTGAGTGAGCGTTGTACATGTGTGAAACAGCTGGGCATGGAAGCAGTACGTGTGCTGCAGAGTGCCCTGGAGTTAAGAAAGAACAAACTCGCACACACATTTTGGATTTAGAGGAACCTTTATTGCACAAAGGATTCACACTCTAATGAATTGAGCCACATACTTGTGTGATCACATGAGGAAAGACTGGTGTGAATTGAGCAGTAAAAATGGTGTAGTGGCAGCGATCTCCTTGATTTTGTAGCTCATGCCAGGGAAGACGGCTGGCTCATACATGTTGCGCAGGGCATGTTAACTATTTTCCATGCTGTTGCTAACCCCTGCCTATTGTGTGGAGAAATTCATTGATATGTCCCAGTCGCATTACACACATCAGTTGCAGATGTGAATGTTAAGTTGTGGACACTTAAGTACAGAGAGCAGGAAGCACGTCACTTCTGCATCCTGGTATATCTGAAGCCGCTCAAAATGGTAAGAGGAAAACACTTTGCACATGCGTGCCCAAATGAATGCAGACTGTGTGGTTGAGCCTTGCCGTCAATCCTCACAGAACACCTGGCTTTACAGCAGTAAATTTTAAAAGGGAAGATGCAGAGGGTTTAAAGTTATTTGTCAGCAGAACAATACAGCAGCTAAAAAGGCTTAATGCATCAGCAGTGTTGCAACAACAGATATGTCATGCCCAGGTCATGAAAAGAAACAGTACTATTCTATTCTTCTTTGGGTCAGACTTCAGTGGAAGTACAGTGGTACCCCGCAAGACGAACGCCTCGCAAGACGGAAAACCCGCTAGACGAAAGGGTTTTCCGTTTTGGAGGCGCTTCGCAAAACGAATTTCCCTATGGGCTTGCTTCGCAAGACGAAAGCCCATAGGGAAATCTCCGGGACAGCGGGGAAGCGCAGCGCGTCTTCCCCACTGTCCTCGGACCTCCTCCGAAGCCTGGCGGGGGGGGGGCGGAGAGACCTCCTCCCGCCGCCAGGCTTCGGAAGGCTGCTCCGAAGCCTGGCGGGGGGGGGTGGTGGAGGGAAATAAAGG